TATATTAATATATATATATAATAATATCAATATATATATCATATACAGTCAGATATATATATAATTATATATATATATATATATATTTATTTATTTATCAATTTGATATCATAAATCATCATATTTGTCATTATTCACATGCCCCTGGTTGGAAGCAATATGTAGAATGCCCGTATAGCGCCCGTTTAAAACTATTAACGATGCGATAATTGAGCCGTGATAAGCATGTGTGATGTTTATTACGTGATAGTATTTAACTGCAGTCGTTCGACGCACGTCGACAAACGTTCGCTCGCAGTGAAATCATCGTGGCATATTCCCAGTGACATAATAATGTTATTATATGAATATGATAGTTTTCCTCGCGTTTCATCGTGCTCTAGTACACATGAGACCATGCACACTATGCCCTTTAGCAATGCCTAATGCACCTTGTGAACTGCGTCAATTTCGATATTATATTAAAATATGATAATCTCTCTGTGAACAGCAATGGCGCATTATTATAGCGCGTGTTAGAGTTGTGAACCGAGTCTATAATAGGCAGTCAGACACAGACGATCGAGTACGAAAGGTCCTATAGCTTACACATGCTGAGCTTCTCTCTCGCTGCTCTCTATCTTATCTATATATATATATATATATATATATATATCTATTTCCTTCTCTCTATCTCGCTCTCTCTCTCACTCTCTCTCTCTCTCTCGGCTCTCTCTCTCGCTCTCTCTCTCTCTCTCTCTCTCTCTCTCTCATCTCTCTCTCTCTCTCTCTATATATTATATATCCCTCTCTCTCCTCCCTCTCTTCCTCTCTCTCTCTCTCTGCTCTCCTCTCGTCGGTGATATATTGCACAGAGAAGTGATGCATGAAAGTTTTCGAATCACTCAGGTTTGTTTGTTCTCACTAGCTCTAAACTCTGCCTTATATTCGGCCTTCGCTATCGGTGATTATCTGGCTTGACCAACGGGATCACGTGAATATAATACTGGTTCCTTCAATATCTGGCGGCGAAGGACATTCAACCATCCGGGGCTGCGGGCTGTGTTCCTTGTGATCACCGAGAGCCCATACATCATGTACGATTTTGTATTTGATGTTCGGCATTAGCTGCGTTTTGTGGATTCGGCATTTGCAGTCTGGGAATCACAAGCACGCAGGTGTACACGAAGATGAATCAGCAAACCGGAGATGATGTAGTAGAAGATTTACTATTTAAAACAGAAGATGACACCGCGCAAAGATTTTCTCTTCGATTGAATACAAATAATCACCCGATACTGACAGACACTTTTTCTATAACCCGCACAACCACACGCGAGTCAAGTTATCACAATCCTGTCCAAAGTTATTCTAAAAAATACCTGGGTTCCTCTTCAAACAAGCTTCCTATTTGGTTTCACGACTAACCGTCCACTAATTCGACTGAGAAAAGATTTTCAACCTTGCGAAATTTTTTTTGCACAACTTCTTAAACGGCGGAACAGATTCCAAATTGCATTACTGATATACACAGCTCCCATTCGTGTTAATTGAATAATTACATCCATCTTTGTCGCGCCTTCTGACTATCTCTACGACCCATGATTTCAAACCGTTTGTTACTCCGGCTTTGTCCGCATCGCACCCTAAGTGTTCACTCGATTCTGAATCCAGTATGACTGTGTAGAAATTTATAGTGTAGACTGACGTCTCATTACGTAATCCAGCAAGCGATGGAATTACAAAGGATGCAGGGCAAGAGTTATAATGTAGCGGGACTGAGGAGTGTTGCTCACTGCGTGCACAACGAGCCCCGATAGCCCGCCACTGTTTTCTTATCCCTTGGTTGTTTTGTTAGTGAGTACCGGAGTGTGTAGTGACCTAGAGCCGAAATGTAAGCGAACTTGAGATGAAAATCAATTAAAAAGAATTAATAGGCTAACGGGAAAAGCGTAGCGTTGAGCCACTACACTGAAATCTTTTTCGATAAAATTTGATTAATGTCGATTGATGCTGTCTGACTTGACTAGAGCGCGTGGCTATCTGCTGAACCCGTAGTACAATAAGGTCTACTACTCATATTATAGTATTATATATATAGGTATATATATATATATATATAATTAATTATAGTATATGTGTACTTATCGATTAACATCACGCATATATACGCTTTTACTTGTTATATGAAAGCTATAAACAAAATCAATAAATTCTAACGTCTATTTCGTGCCGTAAATTGCGCATTATATCAATCAGAAACCGCGAATTAATTATGCAAAACGCGAAATTATTTTTTGCAATTATATGCCAGCCCTGTCGTGTGTGTGATCGCATTATTCGAGACACGAAAGTACTTGGCGCGTAGTCCATCTTAACAAATTAAAAAAATTCTACTTTTTTGATGTACAGGAACAGGAAGCATTGACCCTGAAACACGACCTCGAAACATATAACAATCTATATTGAATTTCAGGGAACACTAATTCTGTTCGTAAACATTTTAATAATAGACCATGTTAGTTATTGCGCCTAGTTTAACGCTATATGCAACCAATATGGACGCCGTTCACAGTTGGCTCATTACTCTATCGGATTAAATAAATATCACAGGAAGTTGATAAGATTAGCGAGAGATTTGACAAATGTCAATAAATAATAACGAGTCCAGAGCAACAAGAGCTATAGACTAATGTCCTAATCGTACTGGGCAATAGAGCTCGTGCTAGCTGGCTGATTATGCTATTAGTATGCTACGCGTTGGGTCAATATAACAAGATTACTTACAAGCGCGTTTCATAATGCAAGCAGAAAACACGGTCTGAATAGAGAAATACTGGGCTCGACGTGCATAAATTATGAGTTTTTGTTTAAATTAATAAAAACGTGTAAAATTATTAAGCCACGTGATATATATATAGATATACAGAGAGAATAAATATATATATATATAGCCCTATATATATAGAGAGAGAGGGTTGTGTTACATATTGTATACAAATTTATATACGATATATATATAAAAACACAATCAAACATCGTATTTTTAATTTACAAGGTAAACAATAAATTTATTGCACTACCTTTACGAACGACCAATATGCGAACGATTTCAGGACGAGTAAAAGCAACGCTCAATTGTACATAGAACAGTGAGAATAAAATAATACTGTCACGGGTATTATAAATATACACCTAGGATTCAAACGACTCAATCCAACCATGCATTTACACTCAAAGACTGACGAAGAATGTATTCATATCAATGTACGAAATCATGTATCATATACTAATCATGAATGCATCGGGATGGGGTGCACTGGCAGCAAATTTACGAACCTCCCCCTAAACAAGACATCTATTGTAAATGTGGCTCAGGACCCGACAAACGCATAGATGTTTGATTGAAGTCGGACGCGACGGTCAAATGTACAATGCGAAAAGTTGAAATATATCTACATAAGGGTCTCCCGCTGTGGGAAACCACCACGATAGCTACTCTGACATCGTAAAGTCTAAACATCATAGCATTTTGAATATGCTTTGAGTATTTATATGTAGTTAGTACATGATTTACATATACGAGTTTTGTGCGAAGTTGTGAGATTCTAGACTCACGATCGTATGAAGTACTATGTTGATTCTACGAACGACTCGCCGAAACACCTGAATCAAACTATACGCTTGATTTTCTAGTATCCGTATTTCGTACGTGGACCGCGTGTGCGTGTGTACGTCGTTGAGTTTGAATAAGTCCTTTAAATGTGAGGTTATTAAAATAACGAAACTGTGGCTATACAGGGGAATATAAGTGGAAATAACAGCGGATATATAATATGCAGGCAATATGCTTAAATTGTTCAAAGTAGTGTTATAATAAAAGACTAAATATTAATGGATAGACTTTGTGCACGCAATACGCATATTCAAGCATATCTGTACATGGCTTTAGTACCAGGGTACGTTCCGGCAGTACCCTGGGGGACATAGACCCTGTCAGCCGTAATAACGTTTTAACCCTTGGCCTTTTGCACTGAAACTGTGCGGTTTTCACTGGGTATTCAAGTGCTACTGTCGATCCTTGTATCGATGTATTAAATTATGCGGACACACTTTCTAAATGGCTTGATGAGTAGTTTCTAGTTTCTAGATCTAACTGGAGCAGACACGATTGCGTAAATTTGGCCACTGCCTGGAGAGGCTATACGGACCGCGTTCGCTGTGCCATGAACTGGAATCCCGCCCATTTATTTATGAGGCTTCTCTAAGAAATGGAGCAATATTTATGCTACGCCGAATAGAACTTTTTACGCTGACCTTGTACTTCCAGGTTTTTGTAAAGCTTTGTAAAGGTTGTAAGGTTTTGCCAGTGTTTTGCCAGGTTTGTAAAGCTTTCGCATTTCACATCGCAAAGCTATATACGCCCCAAACCGCAGTTTATTCGGATGTGTTTTATTATACACGTTTACAGTGTCATTTAATTTATACACTCTAATTTACGTTCCAGTGCAGTTTACTCGTGCGCGCACCACCAATTTCGTGTGTGTGTATAGATATATACTCGAAGCTAGCTCTACCAGTGAAACCCTTCGCTCCCACTGCAAGGTAGTGAAAGAGCGCCCATGTACTTTAAGCGTTTTGTCGAATTGTTTGTAAAGCTTTCGCATTTCACATCGCAAAGCTATATACGCCCGTAACGCCCCAAACCGCAGTTTATTCGGATGTGTTTTATTATACACGTGTATACACTCTACTTTACGTTTTAATGCAGTTTACTCGTGCGTGCACCACCTATTTAGTGTGTGTGCGTATAGATATATACTCGAAGCTAGCTCTACCGGTGAAGCCCCTTCGCTCCTACTGCAGGGGGTAGCGGGAGCGAAGGGGCTACACCGGTAGAACTAACTCGAAGTCAATTCTACGGTCACGAACGTGTGCATATGAGCGGTTTCTATGTAGTAGACAGCTCGTAAATTGACGTTATATGCTATCTTGTGCTCACGAACAGATAGCAAACTCACAATTCCATTCGATGTTAGAGATGCATTTATCTTCATTAAGTCTGCATGTTAGCACGGTCTTGATGCATTTATCATGGTTATCCTCCTGATCGGCACAAACGAAGCAGTTCAATGATCGTCCTGAAAGAGATAACAGCGAAGAAAATTATTCCGCGCGATTTGAATGAGACCACAGGCCCTTGGAGGCTCAAGTTTTTTAAGTTTCAAGAAGAGTAAAAGAGCGAAGCGCTTCGCTCTATTTACTCTTCTTGAAACTTGAGCCTCCAAGGGCTTGTGATGAGACATTGTAAAGGTTGTGCGAGGTAATCTGGTTACAGAGCTACCAAGAGGTTAAAGATGTCACCTCTGTAACCTCTTGGTAGCTCTGTAACCAGATCACCTCTGTAACCTCTTGGTAGCTCTGTAACCAGATCACCACTGTAACCTCTTGGTAGCTCTGTAACCAGATCACCTCTGTAACCTCTTGGTAGCTCTGTAACCAGATCACCTCTGTAATCTCTTGGTAGCTCTGTAACCAGATCACCTCTGTAATCTCTTGGTAGCTCTGTAACCAGATCACCCTGTAACCTCTTGGTAGCTCTGTAACCAGATCACCTCTGTAACCTCTTGGTAGCTCTGTAACCAGATCATCCCGCGTTCGATTAACTGCCGCACGCGGGCTATAGTACTAGAGCTATACACCAGTTAGTTTCCTGTAGTGGGAGTAAAGGGCCCTAGTCTAGAAGACATGTCCCACAATACTTCATGTCTACAATACAATACACAATGGGTCTTCTAGACTAACTCCGAGTAAAGGGGCTACACCGGTAGAACTAAGTATCTCATTATTGAGAAGGAACACGATTGAGAAGGCTAGTATATAGTAGCTCTGTAACCAGATCACCACTGTAGTTAACCTCTTGGTAGCTCTGTAACCAGATCACCACTGTTAGCTCTTGGTAGCTCTGTAACCAGATAACCTCTGTAACCTCTTGGTAGCTCTGTAACCAGATCACCTCTGTAACCTCTTGGTAGCTCTGTAACCAGATCACCTCTGTAACCTCTTGGTAGCTCTGTAACCAGATCACAACTGTAACCTCTTGGTAGCTCTGTAACTAGATCACCTCTGTAACCTCTTGGTATATAGTACTAGAGCTAACTGGTGTAGGGTTTCTGTAGCGCGAAAGAAGGGGCTATACCGGTAGAGCTATGTGATACTATTAATTCCGCATAGCACATCAGTGATTACGATAACAATAACTGTAATGTACACGGGTGAGAGGCTGAGACATCTCCCACGACAGCTGTGCTGTAAAAGAAGCCTGTCAGACGACACGCGTATACCCATCGCGTCTAAACCGTATTAGGTTTCATTGAATTATTGGTCACTTATATCGGTTGGTCGATTTTAACCTCGCGTTGACAGATATTTTCAAGTGAAAAACCGAGACATCACAGTTCTCATGCCCTTCTCCGTGAATAGGTGTGTGTTTTGGAACGTATTAATGTTAGTTTGTCGTGTACATATGTGCGTCGAATGTGTGTGTGTGTGTGTTGTGTGTGTGTGTGTGTGTGTGTGTGTGTGTGTTGTGTGTGTGGTGTGTGTGTGGTGTGTTTTGTGTGTGTTGTGTCGTGTGGTGTGTGTGTAGTTGTGGTGTGCTGTGTGTGTTGTGTCGTTGTGTGTGAAGTGTGTGTGATGTATGTGTGTGTGTGTGTATGTGTGTGTGGTGTTGTGTGTTGTGTGGGTGTGTTGTGTGTGTGTGTGTATAGTGTGTGTGATGTGTGTGTGTGTAGTGGTTGTGTTGTGTGATGTGCGTAGTGTGCGTTGCGTGTGCGCGCGCCAAGGTGGGTGTGCGTGCGTGAGTGCCGTGTGTGCGTGGGGGG